CTTTTGGTGGGTGGGGGGGACATTGTGGGAGGGACAAGGGAAGGACATGAGTAGTTTTCCTGTCAAATCAGCTGTCACACCAGTACTTTATAGTTTTACAAAGTGACATTTATCCACATTACCTTATTTAACCCTCACACAGTTAAGAAACTTGACGAAGGTCATCCAGACTTAGTAAGTGAGAGAGGCAGACTCAACCTGAGACACTGCTGCCACAGAAGCAAGCGAGTCCTGCCTCTAGGATGCATGGTCTTAGAGGGAACCTGATTATGAAATGAATGGAGGCGTTTTTCTTTTTCATTTTTGACATTAATTGATCACGGTAACCTTTTATGCTTATTTTCTTTGCAGCAGGGTGTTTTTTTTTATGTTTTGTTATGAATGAGCTTTTGAATCTCAAAGTGAAAATAATATTACTAAGCACAGAATTTGAAAAAAGATACTTTGTGTTTCCCCTTTTCTCTTCATGTGTGGCTTTTTACTGTAATTATTAGTCAACATATACGGAATGAGCTGATATATATATAAAGACAGAGCATATAAAAACACATGCATAAATATACATAATACTAAATATACATAAAATAGTGAATATATGTGTACGTAGCATATACATACACATCATGCCAAAAATCCCCGGGAAAACCTGCATATACTATAAAATGCTGATGTTGCACTTGGGACACAATTTCTAGCTGTCAAAGCCGGAAAGTATTTCTTATGGTAGCTTCCACGGCCTTTATTGGGGATGACAAAACTATCCCAAAGCTCTCCAACCAAGTGTTCCTTCTCTGGTTCCAGGAAGGAAGACAAATGCAAGGGTTTTCTGCTTACTCCCTCTATACAAATATTGCTTAGACCAGTCCAGTTAGTCCACTGGTAAATATACAAAAATACTTAAATAAATCAATTAATTAAAAAGATTAACATCAAAAGTATGACTTTAAGTTTAAAAAAAAAAAAAACCACACCAGAGTAGAATTTTTTGGGTGAACGTTCTGTAATCTTGTACCAGACCAAAACAATTTTTTTATGGAGCAATATGACTAGTCAAGTAGCTACTTTATGACAATAAACACCCAAAACCGAAAAATCCTTTTGTAACATAATTACTGAGAATATATAGAGAGAGTAACCATTTAATCCACAGCATGTGTTCTCCACCACAGGAACTCAGTAGCTGACATCAGATGGGGTGTGGCGGCGGGTGTAGGCCCTGAAAATGAATTCTGGCGGGTTGAAGTCAGACAGCTAGCTCTCTGGCAGGCGCTGGGATCTAGAAACCAAGCAGGTCTGACAGGGCCAAAGGCAGTTGACCTTCTCGGCACAGGGCAAGGCCCATCTGTTTACTCCCATTCTGCTTCTGGGAAGAGTGTTGTGGTAGATGAGTTAAGGCTGTGGTTATAGGGTGTTGCCACTGACTTAATTTTAATATTTTCACCCTTAAATTTTGTCCACATTTAAAGCTGAATGATGTGTATAACTTGTAGGCTGAAAAAAAAATGTGTGGGTTTTTTTTTAAGTTTTGAGTTTAAAAAAAAAAAAAAAGAAAAGAAATGAACACTGACCAAAAACAGATATTTCCAGTTCACTATCATATGGTATTTTCAAAATGTAAATGACACAGGCAACTGCAATCCACCTCAGAATTTATAAAAGTGAAAGTTATTTCCTCCACAAGAAAAGATAACAATGGTATCAATTTTAACAAAACTATTTTGAGAATTTTAGTGTTGCTCATTAATCAATATGCGAACACAAGTGGGTAAACTTATTTATACCCCAAAAAAGAGTAAATTTGTAAGTTTCAAATGAGTTTGTGCCATTACTAATTTTGTACAACTATTTCACATTAATGCATAAAGTAGTTACATTTACAAACTTGACACTAAGAATACTGTTTCTCTCAAAATACAAAGAAAACAAATCATCTGACATCCCAATTTAATGTGATTCACAAAATATTACTTAATTTGTATAAATGCAAAATCCCATGTTTTTCATTTTACATGATGGAGAAAATGCCCAATGTTCAACTATTTAACAACACTGCCTCTCTGGGTAAGGTTACTCAAAACTCTTAATTAACCAACATTTCCAATTCAAAATGCCCTTAGTACAGGCCTGAAGGCCTAAGCACTTAAGTCATCTTTGCTAAAATAAAACACACCTATGTTTAAGATCAAATTATCCCATTAAGTTGATAACAGCCTGTTTCAAGATATAACATCTAAAACTCACTCTGAGGTTGTGAAAATGCATGTTTCCCTTCTCAGGAGACTAAAAGAAATCCCTGAGAAATACATATATTTTTACATGACCAGAACACTCTAGATATTCTAGGCTTGATGCATGCTCTCTGGACTGAACATCAAGCATCCTGACTTGTTCTCCCCTGGGCCTGGAAGAGTGAATGCACTGTTTGCAGTCCCTTCCCTGTCAGTACAAGCATAAACTGCAGCAGTAGTAAACAACCACCAGCCAAGAGTTGCGAAGGTCAAGGTCTCAAATGCTATACAAGGGCCATTTCCTCCCAAAAGACATTCATTTCTTGAAAAGAAACTTTGAGGGTAGGGGAATATTAAGGGCTCATTAGCACAACAATTTTCATTCAATAAACTGTAATAAAAAGCATACCCTAATAAAGTTTAACTGACTGAAGTTTCTTTTAAGGATGCCTTACTAAATTGTAGGTATATAACTGAAGGACTTTAAAAATAAACAGAAATCCCTTAAGTATGTTTTGTTTAACCTGACATGTTAGTTTTAGTTGATGAAATTTTTATGTGAAAACATTCCAATTTTACCAGTTTAAGTACGAGTTGATAGAATAATAAATCTTTTTTTGAAATACATTACAAATTTCTGCCTATTCTTGTATTGCTCAAACTGCTTTCTCCTCAACTCAAAGGAGATTACTATACTCAATCTATATCATGACTGACCATGCTGCAGCAATAAAGATGTATCTTATGCAACTGAAATGTCTGTCCTTCAACATCCTATTTCTACTAAGATTCTACTATTAAAATTTTTCCAACCTAAAAGTATACCTCTTACTCATAGCCAATTTCTATGTGGTTTTTAAAAATGTAAACAACATGTGAATGAGGTCTGCAAATAGCACAACCAGGCTTTTTTTTTCCTTTGGAGGAGGGGGTTCCACTGTTGTAATGAAATGCCAAATCTAAAAGCATTTCTTAGAAGATGGCATACTCTCACTCTTCAAAGTGACCACTCCTATTCTCATCACAAGTGGCTGCTTGCTAAAAGCCACCAAATTTATTTCAAAGCATTTACTTATCTAAACAACTCCATCCTCCACTAAGAAAAGGGCACCGGAGGCGCGTCTAGGTGGATTTGCAGAATGACGTGTAGTTGATTGGCAGATGTCTACCGAAGCAACTAGATGCACATGCACTAAATGTAAATAGAGCTGCTAGATGTTACAGGGAAACCGAATATTAACGCTCAGTTAAAATATAAGAGCGCTCGGCAGAGATTCGATTAGCCAGTAGAATTATTTGAAACAATCCATACAGAATATACTTAAGCCATCTGTACAGTTAAATTAGAGAGCTGACAATATTAACCACACAAACTGTTTATCCAGATTACACATTCCGTTGTACTAATACTCTTTAACTCAACACAGTCAGCTTTTATCAGCTGAATTAAGGCTATTACTATTAAAGTATGCAAAACTCCAAGAGCAGGGTGAAGGGGGTTGGGAAGCTGCAGGGCATATAACAAAGGAATTGGTACTTTTTCCAAGCATTTGCCTCAAATGGACTGCGAAACAAAACTGTTGAATGCACCCCACCCTTTTCCCCAAAGATAAAAGTTTGCAAAGTTCTAGTAGGCAGTTCTTTACCCAACAAAAGCAGGATTGATTCTCCCAGTAGGGAAGCATCTAACACGAACACCAACTACGTCGCGGAGGTCAAGTCCGAGCCCTCGGAGAGAGCTTCTAAGGCAAGAAGTGGCTCCCAGGCCGGCTCCGCGGGCTTCCCGGCCCGGGTGGACGTGCAAAGTTGCCCCTTGTCAACTCCGGCCAGGTCCCCCGTAATTGAAAATAACAGCCACGGGCCAGCCCCTGGCTACTTCCATGGATCAGGCACTGTGGCAAGTGACAGTTACACATCATTACGACCAGAGACAATAATGAATGTAGCACCAGGACCACTATTCATGCCAGCAGTGTCATCTCTGTCTTAACCCTTTCCCCTCCAGTCTCTCCAACACACACACACACACACACACACACACACACACACCACGGCCCCGGTGCGGCAGTTATTCATCCAACCCATTCTATTCCTGGGGGCCAACTACTTCCACCAGTTCCTCTCCGCCCCCCAATTCAGCCCTTGGGGTTTTATTTCTCATCCTTAGCAACTGTCAGGCAAACGCTGCAACCAACAATTCCACTAGGGGTAGAAAAACATTGGCTTAATTCACCTTACTTGCTAAGTTCTTTTTAAAATTTTAGGGGAGTGGGGGAAGTAACCTCCCTCTTTCTTCTCCACGAATCCGACCGACGCTACTTGCTTTGCAAAAGCATCACCCTTCCCCGGCCCCCTCCCGCTTCCCAACACTTTACCCTCTTTAAGAACACAGACCAACCAAAATGATTTAACTTGAGCAGATGACAGAAGGAAAATAAAATATGTTAAGAGAATACGGTCTGATTTGGGATGGCAGGAAAAAAAAAGAGGGGGTTGTTTATTTTGATAAGAAACGGAATCGGCACAGACCTGAACAGAAGCTGCAGAGCAGGAGAAATTGTTTTCTTTCCCTCACACAGAGTCCCCCTCTCGCTCGCCCTTTCTCTCACACGCGCGCGCGCGCACACACACACACACACACACACACTCGCACACACGGCGTCACCCGCGCACACTCACACGCACAAGCAGAGCCTCTCAGCTGCTCTCTGCAGTTCTCAGGAAATGAATGGGGGGCAACCCAGGGAACTGTTGTACTTGCAAATGACTTACCAGGATCACATGATGCGCTAAATGTAGGGTGGGCCGGTGGGTGGAGGCTGACGAGACGCGAGCCCCGGTCTAGCGTGGGGAGCCTCGCCAGGCCCGCATCGAATTACCCCGGGGCCCAGCCGAGGGGGTTGCAGGACGCCGCTTCTCCTCCCTTGCAGCCCGCAGCTCAGGAAACCGGAGAGGCGCGGGGGGTGGGGTGGGTGGGGTGAGATTGGGGGGGTGAAAACACCAAACCCCCAAACAAAAGAGCTCCGGGTCCTTCTCCCCAGAAACAAAGCCCCGCCGCTGCGGGCGAGCCCCGGGGTGGGGCCGAGGGCGGGGGCGGCGGCGGGGAGGGGCTCGCTCAGCAGGCGCTAAGTCGCTTTATTGCCATAAAATGGGGCCCCCGAGCCGCTCCGCCCGAGGATTAGGAGGCGGGCTCTGAGTGTGATGGTTGAAATCCCCTGTGGGAAACTAACCCCTCCCCGATCGCAGAGGTAGAAGGCAACACCCACTGCCCAGCCCTCGCCTCGCCGCCCGGGCCGCCGGCTGGGGGGTGGGTCCGCGGAGCCTCCACCCCGCCCCACCCCGCCCCACCCCTGCCTCCGCCCCCCGGCCTCCGGCCTCGGTCGCGCTTCCCTTTCACCTGCACCACCTTGCTGCGGCACCCAAAATAACCTACACATGGCCAACGGAGCTCTGGGAGCCGCCGGCTGAGGGGCCCTCAGGGGCTCACAACAAGAGGAACCCCCGATTGCAACTCGCCGGGCGAGGACTCGCTCTGAGCTGCGAGAAAGTCCCTCTCTTTTGTGTCAGATCGCGCAAGGCAGCCTTAGGAAAAGAATTGGGAGACAAATAAAGCGGCGAGCCCGCTTGGCCCCCGCCCCTTCCCCGCGCCCGCCCGGGTAGGGGCGGGCAAGGAGGGGGCCGGGGCGCTCGAGCGGTCCCCGCGGCTCAGCCGCCAGCTAACTTGGAAAGGTGTGGGCGGAGCCGGCTTGGGCGGCCGTCCGAGGCTGCGGGGCCACTAGCGGGGACCGCCCCCGGGCGCCGGGCATTCGCCAGCGCCAGGGCAACAATGGGGTCCCGCCAGGGGCAGCTCCTCGAGTAGCGCCTAGAGGGCAGGGTTGGATGGGCAGGTGGGGCGGAGGGCTGGGCTAGGACGCGGGGGAAGCATTGTTTGGGTTCAGGAGCAACGCACGTTGCGGGCGTGGGGAGGGCGCCCTCCCTCCACGCGCTTCACCTTGGCGGGATGAATGGGGGCTAGGCTACGACTCGTGCCTCGCTTTGCGACCCAGGGAGAGGGGCTTGCCCGCATCAGTGATTTGGGAAAGCAGGCGAACTCGCAGGAGAGAGCAAAAGAAATGAGAGCTGAGGACCTCTGCCAAGGTGGCGGGGGCGCGAGGCTAGACCCCTGTCCTGCGCCTCGAAGAAGAGCCCCGAGAGGCGCGCGGCTCCCGAGTCCTTGAAGCTTTCCCCGGCGGCCCCTCCCTCCGCGCCCGGGGCAGCGGATCCGCGGGATTCTGGGGCGGGAGAGGGAGGAGGCGGACGGCCGTTCCCGCGGCGGCTCGGAGGGCGCGAGGTCAGCGGCACGCGGGAGGGTCGGCGGGGGCAAGACGGGGCGGAAGCGGGACTGGCCCGCGGTCCCCGATGGTCGGTGTTTGCGGGCGCCACTTTCTTGCAAACCTAGGTGAGCGCTCTAGGGCGCCGGAGTGGGCCAGCCACCCCTGCCCGATGGCCCTGAGCCCGCCCTGCGTGGGAAACCGCCGCGGCGGTGGGAAGGCCGGGAAGGGGAAGTTTGTGTTAGGAGAGAAAGATTTGCAGCACTGTGGCATGAAGTCGGGTGGGGAGAGAAACCAGGGAGAGGCCGAGAAACAGGAAATGAGAGCAAAGGAGCAAATTCAAGCCAGGAAAAGCCGGGTTCTACATCTGTGTGGCACTGTGGCATTTTCCCAACACTTCTTAAGGCCCGGTGTGCGCTGTTACTGAAAACAAAACGGAGGGGGTGCTCCCAGCGCATCCTCTGCCCCCTGCCACGTCTGGCATCTGGGGCGAACTGGCAAGGTGGTCCAGCCCAGAGTCCCGCGGCCGGTTTCTAGTCCTGACAAGATGAATCAGCGGGCCCCGTCTTATGAATAAAAGGTTTGAAAGGAGCAGTCTGACCCGGTCTTAGTGTTTCCAAGAAGAGCAAATGAGACAAGTGCGAAAGTGCCTGAAATTTGTGAAGCACTCCTCAGCAAAATAGCGGGAGCGGAAAGGCATGAGACTCCTAGACCCCAAAGGGTAATGGAACCTGGACAGGAGGTAGAGGTAGCCTGGGCGGGCTCTCTGTTAAGAGTAATGGTTCTGCAGACCCCACCCGCTGGTCTGATTCCAGACAGAGAGTAAATAGACCTTTCCCTCCTGCTGCAACCGGATAGAAATATCGAGAAAAGAGAAGTTTGGGGAAACAGGATATCAACAGCTGCACGGTATTTGAAGGAAAATTTTCCCTCTGCTAGGATCACTGTGAAGTTACCCTCTAGGTGGGGCAGATAGAAGCTGGAAGTGAAGGAAGTGAGTTTCTAACTGTAAGGGTGGAAGGACGCTGTAAGAAATTATGTCATCGTGGCAGTTCTTGTACAACAGCTCTTTCCCAGCTGAGTGGAGAACAGACCATAAATATATAGCAAGTGATTGCGCACGTGGAAAAGCAAACTGCACATTCCCTTCCTAAGGCAACAGCCACGGGCGTGTTAATAAAAGGATGAGGGGATAGAAAACAAACTACAAGTATCCATTCCAGAGGGATAAGGAAATTCAGGGCAGGTCAAGGTTAATATCTAGAGTCTCAATAGGGTATGTGGTTAAAAGAAAGAACTTAATCAAGTGTCAGAAAAAACGTCCTAGCAGCTTTTTAAAAATATTGTTGACATATAAGAAGGAATTAGAAATGTTAAGGAAACTCCCCAAATATAAAAAGGGAAAAGAAGAAAAATGCAGGTTTAGAAGGGAGACTCTCTTCATTGTGTGAACTGGACATGGGTGTGGAAGAACAAAAACAATGAAAGAATCTTAAAAGCATGCTTATTATTGAGAGTGAGATCACTAAAGTGTTGTGCACAGGCATACATTTCCAGGGCAGTTCATGTAATTGTATATCTGTATAGAATTTAAGGCGTGTAGAGGAGGGAAGGAAATAGGCAAATAGTGTTCAATCCTGGCAAAAATATGTGCTTTTTTTTTTCTATTTAGACCTTTGTACTCTTTATTTCCATGTGTTTGCAGCGTTGTGCAAAATTAGAAAAAGTAAAGATGGCAAAATTATTTTACCAAGGATATATAATTCTGACTATGTAAAAGAACATATGGAGAGAAATTTGAATCTTAGAATTTCAGGTTTGAAAGTATCAAATCTAGTCCTCTATATTTCAGTTTGTTTAAAAGGAAGATGATTTGGGTCAAGAGTGATGATCCATTTCCTTAGCTCTATATATTTAATTTACATAGTTTTTATTGTTAAAATAACCAAAAGAATGAATTAGTAAAATAAAGGTTGGTATCCTGGATTGGATTTCTTTTACCTAACACATGTCCAGAAAAAAGAACACATCCAAAACATTATATCCAACTCAACATAGACTTTAAACTAGAGATTTTAAATAACGTAAAAGCAAATGTTATTTAAACATTTTGTTAGAGGCTAACCATGGTGATATTCTGAAAAATTAGTGTCAGTGGTAGAAAAATATTTTACAGTGTTAGGAGTTGTGCCTGTATCACACCCTGATTCTGTAAGGTAAAGGCTCTTCAATGTCTATGTAGATTTGAAGTGTTTAAGCCTTTGGATTAGTGAGGGCATAGATTGCATGAATGATTTAATACTAGTACAGTTCTGGATGGGGATGTGGGAAATTGGAGTCCATTTTCAGAAGGCTGTGTAGAAAGGGTGGAGTTAACTAGAAGTGAAAATAAAAGTGATTCCCAAAGCTCTAAATAAAAAATAGTCCTGATTTTTTTCCTAGGACCAAACATGCGTATGTACTGTTAGGTTTTCTGCGCCTGTTTCACATGTCATATTTTGGCAATCATGTGCAGCAAAGGGGGCTTTTTCTGTTCAAGTATGTGAAAGGCATGTAAAAGCCTTACTACAAATATTAACAGCTGATGATGTTATGTGATTACATGATAAACAACATGTTTTGATTTGGGTGAAGAGCTGTCTGAAAATTAGGAGGAAAAAAATGCTACTTTATAACTTTATTTTATTGCAATCAATACAGTTTTTGGTTTTTCTACTTTAACTATCTTAAGATAGGTCCTCTTTTCCAAGTTCCACCAGTGACTTTCATTAAGACCTTTTCCAGCTTTATCACTATCATATCACCTCTCCCATCCCTCAACTCTGTACCTTGACTCCTCCTTCCCTTAGATCCATTCCACCTTCCCCAAGGCAAAAGCTTAATTATGACATACCTATATTTATAAACCAAAATTGGCACAAATTAGTTTCAATACAATATAATGGCACATAAGGATCCCATTTAGATTTTCATATCTTATACTTCTTTTCTAGCCAACTGGAAGCTTGCCATGCCCTGTCTACCCTTTACTCAATTGATGCCTTTACTCAATGATTCTCTCATCTGCTTCCTTGAAATCCTTCAAAATTGATTGTGTGACACCCCACCTACATATGGTCCTAGCTCATCCCCTCACCAAAAATAATCTCTCCCTTCTTAGAGCTTATTTTAGTGTCATGGGAAGAGAACCTCAGTCACTGTCTAGCTGATTTTTAAGATTTTTTTTCTGATTCTCAGAGTTTTCCACATAAATATTGCCCTCATATTGAAAGATTGACATTTATTAGATGCTTACCTGGGCCAGAATCAGCCCATGCAGCAATCCAATAAATGTTAATTTCTCATTTATTCCTAAAGCACTTACACCTTTCTACTTCCACTGTCACTGGCTCATTTAAGAACTGCACCTTAACCACCTAAATAGCTTTCCCTTTACCACTCATGCTGTTCTGCCCATAGTAGGTAGTTAATGAATGGGTGTTGAATCCATGAAGTAATCATAACACATAAAATTAGAATAACATACCTTAAAATATTATTTAGCAGAAAGCTTGGGTTTCTGTTTCATTGCACATATTATAAATAATAAAACTCAGAAATGTGTTGAAAAATAATTTTAAACATTAATTCTGGCCACATTCTTCAAGCAACTTTTAAGTTAGAAGATTTCACATAAAGGAATATATCAAATAGAGTATTTTTACTCAATGTCATTATTTCTTTCACATTTAATCATTTAAAAA